ACTCCTTGGGTGCTACTTTATCTTGTTTATCAATAGCCTTTAGAACACGGTGCACATTAATAAAGACAAGATTATGCAAAGTGGGGAAAACCAAGAGAAGAAATAGTATCTAGATTTGTAGGAATATCTTCCATAATCTGTGGATACATTTTGAAGATCTAGAAGGTTATTTTTAATAGCTTTGTTGAATCGTATGTTATACAAAAACACGGGGGCAGCCACAGGCCAATCTGGCTCTCGTGCATGAGAACTCAGCTTTTCTTCTGTTTCCAGATCACTGTGGCTACCCATACCAGCCAAGGCTTATGAAATTGAAAAAGGCTTGGAAAATACATGAGGCCTGAGCACCAAAATTAGTTCTTTGTACCTCAGGGAAGTGGTAAAATGGCAAAGCTTGAGTCTGACTGTCGCTCCACTATTTAGTAAATGCATGATCTCAGGTAAGTAACTGTGCTTTTCTGTGCCTTCGATGAGGCTATCACCTCTCCGTGGAAGGCTCATGTGAGATCTTCTTGAGAAAACTCTGTAGAGACGTGTACAAGCCAGAGCAGTTTATGCTCACTAAGTTTCTGACATCTGAACTGCTATCACTGTGTAGATGTGGATGCTCTCTGGTTTCTCATTTATTCTTCATCGTTCGTCCCACAAATCACCCATGCAGATGCACAAAATCAACGGAGAAAAAGTAAAACCGAGGCTGTCAGTAATTAGTACAGAATCTGATCATCAGGTGTGAGGTCCCCCCAGGCTCTGCTCATCTGAGGTGAGTCATCCTTCACTGTGTTTTCTGCCCAAGAAGACAAGAGTATGAAGGAGCTGTGTCTGGCAACAGAAGGCAGCATATTTCATACCTGCTATGCTTGCTCTGGGCACTCATCTGGAATGGACTGGCTTGATAAATTTTTTCTCATCTTGAACACATCTCATAATCAAACTTCCCAATGCTTCCACATCTTCAGTCTTCTATGAGATGCATGATGCTCTTGTTACATGGAAAGGGAGTTGAGTAGGTGAGACCCTGACTCCTAGCTCTGAACTGTGTTCTCTGTCATGATGAAAAACACAGAACCTGACCTAGACAGAAAGTTATACCCCCTAAGCGTGGCTCTATTATGTTCATGTAGCTGGAATGCAGCATAAATTATGCCTTAGCATAAGTACCCAATACTTCAAAAAGTTGTTATTCTGATGTCATAGTTAGTTTTTTCTGCCTATGAGAAGGATCATCCACCCTCATTTAACATGTAGATAAGCTTAGGTTAGAGTATTAGTACTCCAAAAATCCAAGATAGGTTTTCTTTGCCAGTCTCAAGACACAAGCATAAACTATTGAATTTTGTATAAACTTTTCAATATACAAAGTATTAAATATGCAAATTAAATTAATTTGAAAAAGTAGACATATCTATCTAGTATCAACAAATCAAGTAACTAAACTGCTCATATTGCCCAAATTCTGTCTCTCTGTTCACCGCCCACTCAACAAGAGGAATAATTAGTCTCCTTTTATCATCAGTTACTCTTAGCTTTCTCTGCAGTCTTATTTAGTGGAATAATGCTACATTTATTAATTGTTAAGTTTCTGAAATTAAAATATAATTGCATCATTTCTTCCTTCCATTTCGTTCTTTCTGCTTTTACCATGCATCCTCTTTTGTTCTTTCTAGAATTTATGCTCTTTTTCTTTCATTGCTCACACACAGAAACACATACACACAGAGACATACAAACACACACTCCTAAATTTATAAATACAATCAACTAAGAAAGGCACAAATAGATATGATAACATGGAAATGGGAAAGAGACAACCAACCTTCAAAAAAGAACTACAGCAAACTAAGGAACACTGACAGCAGGAAAAAATAGTCTTCCCCAGGAAAGAGTACCCGTCTAATAGTCTACTCATACCAAAAGGTCAGCCCTGAAGTTATACGCTATGGAACAATCTCTTTGTACACTGTGAATACGTCTTACTCTTATTGATTAATAAAGAGCTGACTGGCCTATAGCTAGGCAGGAAAAGGTTAGGCAGTATTTGTGGACAAAAAGAGGGTTGGGGGATGGGCATAGTCACCAGGAGAGGTAGAGAGAAGCAAGATGAATATGGCGTGCTGGGAAAAGGTCCTGGCACATAATAGAGCATAGCTAAGAAATATGGGTTAATTTAAGTTGTACGAGCTAGCTAGTAATAGGCCTAAGCTATTTGCCGAGCATTTATACTTAATAAATTCTCAGTGCAAGTGTTTGGGAGCTGGCTAGTGGGACAGAAAACTCCACCTACAGTCATATACATACACAAATTATTTTTTCCTATCTTACTTCTTAAGCTAATTATTGGAATGGGATTCATCCCCAAGTATCTGTCTATAACTTCAGTTTGTTCTTTTTTACTATGGCACACTATTCCACTATGTAAATATGCTATACATATCCTATTATCATATATATATATATTATATGCATTTTACATATTTTCTTGCAAATATGTGAATGCACTAATGATTAATATAGTAGTTTCTCCTAATTAGAAGAGATTACCTTTCAAATTCTCACGTCAGCCTGAAACAGAAGACCCCAGATAGTTTACATGGATAGGAAAAATGCTACTTGGCCTAAAATGATTCATGATTTTCTAATTTCAATGAATAATTTCCAAAAATAAGATTATAGGGTGATGGAGGAAGGTCATTGAGCAATAAAGAAACTGCTTGGCTGGCCCTGATAGGTTAAAGCATTGGTGGGAGGAGTAAACAGACTAGGATGCTGGGTGGAAGAGGAAGTGAGGTCAGACTCTGCTCAGCTCCCGGAGAGACTCGACAGCTCTGCTCTCTGGAGCAGAGACGCCATGCTCTGCTCTCCCAGGCAGCTCCAACCCATGATGGACTTAGGCTAAAATCTTCCCGGTAAGTGCACCTTGGGGTGCTTACACACATTACTAGAAATGGGCTAGTCCAGGTGCGAGAGTTAGCCTAGAAGAGGCTAGATAGAAATGGGTCAAGCAGTTAAATGAATACAGTTTGTGTGTTGTTATTTCGGGGCATAAGCTAGCCAAGCGGCCGGGGTGTTGGTGACGCAGCCCCGCCACCGTTCCTATTTCAACAATAGGGCTGGAGAGATGGCTCAAAGGTTAAGAGCACTGGCTGAGCTTCCGGAAGTCCTGAGTTCAATTCCCAAAACCCACATGGTAGCTCACAACCATCTATCTACTATGAGTTCTGGTGCCCTCTTCTACCATGCAGGCATGCATGCAGGCAGAATAGTGCATATATAATAAGTAAATAAATAAATAAATCTTTTTTTAAAAAATTAAAGAATCAGCCGGGCGGTGGTGGCGCATGCCTTTAATCCCAGCACTCGGGAGGCAGAGACAGGCGGATCTTTGGGAGTTTGAGGTCAGCCTGGTCTACAAGAGCTAGTTCCGGGATGGT